GGCTGAAGTAAGGGGCGGGGCCGTGGTGGTCCCAGCTACGGGTCTGGCCTGACGGCAGGGGTCTGTGTCAGGGGTGAGGCGAGCTGGGGGCTGCGGTGCAGGGAGGGTTTGGCTGTAGCGTCTGCCTGATGCTGCGGGGTGCTCTGTCTGCAGGTACCAGTGCTTCAAATCGGCCTGGATGTACCAGGTCCTTCACCAGGGCTTCCGCTTCCCCCTGGACTACCCCAGCCTGCGCACAGCCCAGCTCGTGTACGACCGTGAGGTGCAGTGGACGCTCGGAGCCATCCTCTACAAAACACGTTTTCTGCCGCTTAGGTAGAGCTCAAGCACCAGATCCCGCAGTCTGGCTTGCAAGGGAAGCGGGCCTGGGGAAGCAGAGCAGGAGCTGCTGTGTGGGACTAGGGCTCTGCCACCCAAGGAAAGGGAGGAGGTGGCACAGGCTGCCCTGGCAGCCCCCAGCAGTTCTCAGGCCTCGTTTTGCCTCTTTCTGCAGGGATCTCCGGCCAGAGAGCATCCGCCAAGCACACGCCTCCTGGCTGCGCCTCTCTTTTGTCTACAACCACTATCTTTTCTTTGCCTGCATCGTGGTCGTAGTGCTGGCCATAGTGCTCTACCTCCTGCGCTTGCGCCGCATCCACCGGCGGCAGCTGCGCTCGGCCCAGCTCGACCTGCTCTGGCTGGACAAGGTGGTGCTGCTGCCGCCGGGCACAGGCCCAGGGCCCTGACACCAGGAGTGCCCGCCGGCTCCTTGCACCAGCAGAACCAACGCAGGGCCTAGAACAGGCCGAGGGCTCGGCTTCTCAAGGGCCACCTTGGTTTCACACTCATGGGCCAAGGCAGCTACAGCCACTCCCCAGCCGTCATCACCGTGTTCTCTGGCTGCCTGCTGGCTCCCAGGCACAGAGCAAAGTCCAGCAGGCTCAAGGCTGCAGCCCTTGCTGGGCCCTTCAGATAAGCAGAACTCAATTCACAGAGCAGCCAGCCCAGGGCCATGGCCTCAAGCACTGGGCCAGCGGGCCTGAGCTGGGCTTCTGGTTCCTCAGCACTGCTCTGGGGCCACCTTCTAGCTCACTCCAAGTACAAGGGCTCAAAAAGGGGAAGCCAGCAAGGTCACCATGAGAGCACAGGGGCCACGTGGGCCCTAGAGCTCCCAAAGCATTCCCTAGCAGGGGCAGAGGCCTCCAGCTGCTAGCTGTGTCTCTATTCCTCCTCCTGTCCTTGCTGCTGCCCCACGCTCGGCAGCTCTTTCTTAAATCACCCAAGGTGGTTGCATTTCATTCCTTTTCAAGCATGTTTGCCCTGTGGGGGC